CATAGATTACGACCGCTACCAAGCAAGGTTTGTAACTCGGTGGAAGATTAAGGCTACTTTATGTTTTGATATCATTTACGTCAAGGCTCATCCGACCGCCAATAGTTCGGTATTCTCAATTAATGATGTACCCGTGGAGGAAAGAAGGCCCAGTGATAACGACATCTGATAATGGTGAGCATGTGGTGCACGCATTAGCTTGCGTAGCCCAACTGGTTCAGGTACATCGATGTAGGTTCAATTTGCTGTCTATGCCACCTGAGCGATATTGCTGATTTGGTGGCTTAATAAAAGAGCAATTTAGGAAGTTGGTGCGAAGTGTGGTAAATCAAAATGAGTTTTTTGGAATTTTTTCATACTAATGAGCAATTGTTTTTTGAAAGGTTTTACATTCGGTTCATGTTGGCTGTTTTTCAAGTGGGAAGCAGTTGCATTCGTTATCGGTGCATTGGTGACTTATCTGTTTCGAAATAAATTCGTGTGGAAATGATGCTGAGAAACGCGAAAATCCGTTTTTCGTTTGGTTTACAGTATGCCAGGTACTTGACGATTGCCTGGATTCTTCCGCTGAATTGATTGGTAATGTTGCGACTGCAGGGAGTTTAATGAGACGAGAGCACCAAAAACAAGGTTTTCCTTATCTCTTCTATAACTCGACGAGCCGAATCGAAGTATTCGACACTCTATATGGATGAGAGTGAAAACCAACGTAAATAATTGTGAAGGAAAGCTCAGCTTTAGAAGCAATCGGTCTTCTCACGTTGGAGGGTGTATGGCTTCTTTTGTGAGGGAATATGGATCAAACCACTTTTCCTTTTACCGCCAACTCCTGTAGGATAAGCATAAATCCTACAATTACACATAAATCATGCAATCATAAATCAGTAAATCAAAAGGCATCGCGTAAAATCTTGGGCTCTCTGCAAACTTTGCAGGATGGATTGCGCCTAAAAGCCAAGTTACAAGAAACCGGTCCCCAAAGTGGAGCAAGGTTAAGTTCACCAGCCACACCTTTCCCTCCCTCATTTTTCAAAGCACAAGACCCTATCCTAGCAGTAGATTTAAAGTTCCGCCTTTTTGCAACCTCGGTATTCAGCGTACTCAGGCGTAACATATGCGACTTCCAACAAATTTGAAGGCAGCACAAAAACAGGAACTTAGGGAGCTCAAGAGTCTCGCAACCAGCAATGGTATAAAATATCAGCGATAAGAGAGGAGAGTTTGCGGTGCTGCCTCGAGAACTGGATCGTGCAATAACACGTCTACATCTAGAGGACGAGACTCTTTACAGACCGTCTCCTTTGGAGGAGTTTAGAAAGCAATACTGAACAGGGTGTAGGTTGAAGTGCGATCTTCGCAACTACCAAAAACAGTAAGTACACGGTTAGAATTAGACCTTCCCACCTGCTCGGTTCTTTACACACTCATCAAAACACATAAGCTTTCCCATACCACCTTGTCATCAAACAATCCAGCGGACTACAGGGTACGGCCAATAATTAGCGGTGTAGAGGGCCCCACGGACAGAACTTCATGGCTGCTAAAACTGGTCTTAGGACAGCTGCTACAGTACATTCCTGCACGATGCACCAATACTGATATGTTCCTCGACCGGCTGCGGGAGGCCAGTTCAAGACCCAATTACGTCATGAAATCTTTCGATGTTACATCCCTTTACACCGACGTGTCGAATAAGAATGCTATGCAGGTCACTCTGGAACTGCTCAATGAATATGAACCATCGGTGAACACCTATGGCCTTTCCATCACCCAGATAATGGTTCTAATGAAAGAGTGTCTTGAGTGCTCTATTTTCAGGTGGTCCGGCCAATATTATAGGCAGATCAGCGGACTGTCCATGGGCCAGCGGCTGGTACCCGTGCTAGCCACAGCCTATGTATATGTCCAAAACATAAAAGGCCGTTACTTGATCGCCGGCCTATTGTGTACTGCCGCTACATAGGCGACTGTTTTGTCGTCTGTTCTACGGAAGAGGAGATGGACACGTGTTATGATCTGCTCAACAGACAAGCAGAAAACATTAAATTCACACGTGAGAAGCCAAAGCATAATTGGCTTCCTTCTCTTGATACACAAGTCAGGCTTAAACGGGATTTTTACCGTACCAAATGGTAGAAAACTCAGTAACAAAAACATTTTGGTACCCTTCACGTAGGCGCATCCCTTCAAAACGAAGCGAGCTATCGTAAGTAACATGTTTAAAACGTCGGTATTCAGGTCATCCGGAAAGCAGGAGAGAATTGAATCTGTGGAGCTTACAACAACGATCGCACCCTCCAATGGTTACCCTCTGCCCCCTAAAAACAGTTATGGGTTCTTTAAAAAGGAGCGTGGCCTCGTCATCGATAGTTTGTATAAAGTAGCCTTCTGTATCCCCTAGATTAGTGGTGCTATGAGCTGTGAAATAAGAGCAGGGCTGCACAGATGTGCCTTAAAGGCATGGTACGTGTGGTCGAGATCCAACCTGAAAATCTTAAGCAGCGGCTGGTTTGAAACTGCGTCATCTGCCCTAATGGACAGAAAGGTGACTGTATGACTGCGACACAGTAAATTCACTAAGATTCCCCTCTCCCCTACTTTCTATTTATACTCCATCTGCATCGGGGCGAGTTCTGTGAGAGTGCTTTATTATCTTTCGGATTTGCTGTTCAGTAGGGGAAACAAAAAAAGTCGCCAAGGATGGAAAACTTCGTAACGCTTGGAGTGTTCCGTATAGTTCCACGTCACTGTTGTTTTGGAGACATGAATGTACCTCTACATGCTCGCGCCAAAGCATTCTTTTATAAATGAAACAAAGGTGAATTACGCGATAATTTGAACACGCGAGTTCCGAATCATTTATCCGGTTCACTCAGGCGCGCATCCGTATTTAGGTTGAAAACATTGTGTGATCTAGGCCACCTTCACCAATGAGGCGTGATTGTATTGTATTGTTATTATATGTACACAAATATATTTAGGCTACAATGGCATTAACTGATCTCATTCTTCATAAGATTTTCCAGATGTAGGTGAAACTTTTGTGTCCAAAAAAGCTCGATTATGCTTGCTTTCTCATTCGCCCTGCTCACCGATCCTTACACTCACCGTAATTCTGTTTGCCACCACCTTCTCAGCAAGTTGAGATCCCTTCAAAAGTTTACACTCTGCAATTTCGCGGAAGCTCATCGCTAGTTTTTCAAAAAACCATACGTGAAGCGAAGTAGTCATAGTGTGTAGCACTTTCTCACCTTAGGGTATTAAAACCAGCCCAGGCTTTTAACAACTTCATGCATTTCTTTCCATTAGAAAGCGCAAAGTCAANTCCCTTCAAAAGTTTACACTCTGCAATTTCGCGGAAGCTCATCGCTAGTTTTTCAAAAAACCATACGTGAAGTGATCATAGTGTGTAGCTCTTTCTCACCTTAGGGTATTAAAACCAGCCCAGGCTTTTAACAACTTCATGCATTTCTTTCCATTAGAAAGCGCAAAGTCAAGAGCCTTAATCAATCCCGTCTGAGGAATGCGCCCAAGCAATCGACCTCCATTCAGAATCGTAGTGGCGCATCGAATGAGTATGTGGCCTATGCAATGACTTGCGGCGACCAATCGTTGTAAAAGTTAGCACTTCATCCTGCGAGACGAGTCTAGTACCAATTAACCGACCCGGAGGGATGTAAGGCCCAATTAGCCTAGCCAGGTGTCGACCCGGGATTCGAACCCTTGACCGTCCGTGTGAGATAGCATGTCACTGCCACTACGACACCCCCGCCCTTTCGTTCCTTTTCAATTCTTTTCTATACGGAACATTAATGCTCATTGAAAAAATGTGGTCTGTGTGATGAGCTGAGGAGTTAGGCCAAAAGATCGGTTTCTCAGAATGGTATGGTAGACATTGAAGAAACCAATGTAACTGGCGTGGGGAAGAACAAATAATCAATGAATAAGTCTCAATCACCGAATGGGAGCAGAAGCTTTGTTTTTCTTTACCCCTCTTTTCCGATATTCTGAGGGTGAGCGACGCTTCATCTGAGCATTTCTTCATTTACTGTGTGGAACAGAAATAGGAGAATCCTTAGCACACATTTATCCAAAAACTACTTGGGAATTGAGAGGGTTTGTAAGTACTATTGCAGTTCTCCTCGCATCGTAGTATAGTAGTAATACTTTGCACCGATATACAATATGTATGAATAACAGTATTGCATTCGCGGAGTTTGCTACAAGTTTCATGAGCTTCCGGCACAGGTAGTGTAGTGGCAAGTAGTGCACCATCACCACGCATTGTTTCGCCACATATCATTCGAAGCGATTATGAATGGAAGTCGAGTGCGGGACAGATACGGGATTCCCCAACGTAAAAACTTTATATATTTATATCAGCATCTTCAAATTACACGATGAAGCATCGCTTCGAACGCAAAACATTGATTATGCATCCATTCAAGTCTGAAATTGAAAGGGATTGACTCTCTCTCTGAAAATTTGAAAGCTCATGATGTAGGTACTGATCCCTCATCCTTGAGTAATATCGGATGCGGTTCGACTAAGGGAGAACCTAACTGAAGGANGGATACCTTTGAGATCAATTGCAACAAGAAATGCTCCACTCATCTCAACCGTGAACTTGTTGAAAGAATGGAGCACAGTACGGAGAAAAATGCATAAGGCTCATATCATTGAGTGGTAAGTATTAAAAGATTGGTGAGCACGAATATGGGATACTTTTGAAATTTTCAGTTAGTGAACCAGCTGTTCAGTGCTATACTGTGTCTAGGACTGTGCGGCCCTCAGCTGACTTAGTTTCAGAACACACAGCTATTGTCTTTTCTCTATGTTCGCATTTTAACCATATGACAGTTGAGGAACAAATGCACAAAACATTTGGAACCATCCGAAAACTTACTCAATCTTCGTCCAACCCCCAAAAAACGGCAAAGGGCAAAATGAATCTCAACCCTCAGTTACAGCTAGAGCTGTACGTGTCGGTGCATGGGCTCTATTATTATTCGCTGCTTGCTTCAATTGCGAATTTATCTTTATCTTACCTTAATCGATTGACGTGAACGAAGTCCACGAGGGTATAACAAATGTACGCAAAACGAGGACCTCACAAACATATCAACGCCTCGTGTGAACAAACTCAAAAATGAAAAAGAAAAGACATACTATAACGACAGTGACGAGAACAAAACAACAAGAAGAGTAAAAAGAACAAACGGAATTTGTAAGAATTAATTACGAGAGATAGAGGAAACCTCTGCAGTCACCGACTTTTTTTGCAAAAACTTCAAAGGCTTTCGGAGAGAAGTGCATGAAATCCTCTTTGAAGATTTTGTTGAGAGGAGGTACAACTCTAACTAAGAAGAATTTGGCTCGAACTTGTGTATTCACCGTTGATAACCTAATTTTACACTGCACTGTTTTTTTTACACTGTTTTGAACGTTTTAGCTTGAAAAATTTTTCTATCGCTATATCTGAAGCCCTATTAGTGAGGATTTTGGATGAAATCATAAGGTCGTTGACATTTCTTTAAAAGAAAGAGACTGGGAAGCGAGTAAAGACGACGGCGTGCAGTGGTACCTGGAATGAACTGGTAGCCTAGGGCAGTGCGCCGCATAGCCAACTTTTGCGTAAAGCTACTTTGTACGCTTTTAAGGAGAGATATGTTGTTTTCTTGTACGATGAGAATATGGTTGTTCCTTATTCTATATTCGGTTTCAGTCTAACGTAAGTTTTATATGCTCTAATAAGCGTTTTAGAGTCCCTCGCTCTGACAGCTCTAAAGAGGTTATATACACTACGCATAGCATTGCATACGATTTCCTGTAGTACATATCAAAAGCGAGCTCATCGAATTTGGTAACGGGCATCATCAAGGTCAGGAGCATCCGTGACTTGCTGTAGCTCCTGGGAACTGTAAACGTGCTCAGCTCATCAACCCGTTTATCAGAGTTTCGCAGGGATCCAGCCGACGGATAAATGTAAATTGTTCATGAAAAACAAGTTCTATGAAGACTGATAAATAAGCGATATTTGAACATCGAGCACAGAAGATTTTTCTGATGAGTTCTGATCAAGAAAAGTAGGCAACGCATATCTAGGTTCTTGATCTGCCCCTTCCAAACCGTAATTTCCTTCTTTATTCAGTTTGTATGTACATATAACCAAAGTCATTCTCGTTGTTACTGCAAGACTTGTTTCACTTTCAGGAGATGGACTTGATGTGCTTGTGCAGCATTTTAGCACACACTTTATCAAACAGTTTTGGCATTATTTTCAACGTGCTTCTGATTTTTCTGGTTCTGAAGAAGACCCCAAAGCAGCTCCAAACTTACTCCATTCTGATTTTCAACTTTGCTTTATGCGATCTTTTCGCATGCATAGCAGCTTTGCTAATTCAGCAAAGGTGAGTATACTGTGCTTCCTTGGTTACTTCAATGTATAATACTAAGCCGGCCTCCACTGTATTTCAAGTATAGGAGAGGATTTTGCACGATGGCTGGCCTTCTCGTCTTAATTCGCGAACAAGCATCTCAATTAGGAATACAGTGTGAAATGACATCGGTGAAATAGCCCACAAGGCATCACACTATGAAAAGCCTCCCTACCTTGGAGCTGTGAAAAGTTGTTGGCTTTATATCATTCTATGGAAGTAGGTACAGGCGGATTGGAAGGGAAAAGTCACGTAAACTTGCATCTGGGTTGCAAAAGTTGATGGTTTCAAGACACTACATGGTAGCTCCAGCTCCAAGGTAGACTTTGTGAAACCAAAAGAATATGGTGTCTCCAGCATCCTTTCGTACTGGACAAAGTTGACGCCAAAATTTCGACAATGCTTTGCACAACTAATTCGGCCAAGTACGTCTCGAATCGATGATTTATCGCTTTGGCTATCAGTTCCGAACGCCAACTAATGAGTTTCATGACAGAGTATATTCTACCGGTATCTGTGTCATGGAAAAGGTGGAGATTAAGCTCAGTTAGGGAAGGCGTAGCGAAATCAGAGTTGAGCCTGTGATAAAGAATGTAATATTAGTAAGCCGCAAAAGATGCTGGACGTGGGACTCAAAAATATTTAGCAGGGGAAGGCGTGAAAGCCTACTTACAGCACTTGGGAGGCATCGAATGAAGAACTGCGGGCAGTTATTTTGAAGATAAAAGCAAAATCCAAGCCTACGAGGATGGTTCTGCTCCTAAAGAGGTAATGGAATCACAACTCCGCACACAGAATTCAGAATTTAAGGGCGCAGTTCACGATAATTTTAGGGTTATCCAGATTATGACGGAAAATGAAATAGAAGGTGGAGAGTAGTACGATGGAAGAGTAGGAAGCACGAGAATAGGTGTTCCCAAAGAGATAAAAGGCTTTGAAAAACTCGCAGAAAGCGGGGTCGGACAAGAATGAGACTAGAAAAAATTGCGTAGAAGGGGTTTTGGCCGAGTTATACAGTGTGTCTTTGCTTAGAGCTGACTACAGTAAGCAAAAATGTTCACTCAACATAGTCAGTACCAGTCAAATCAACAAAATAGTGATCAGTAGCGAAAATAGCTCACTTTTTTCATCTTTGTAAGGTAGAAAAGTAGAATAATGACTGCAGCAGCAAAAAAAATAACAGAGAATGATAGAGTAACGGCAAAACGTCCCTTTACCACTCGATGATCAGCTGATTGCATGCTCAACGTGCAGATGATAGGCATGGACAATGACGAATCAGGTGATGGGGCTCAAATTATGCATCATCTATTGAGCTTTCGTCCCGACAGCGTTCTTTGTGTCACCTTTAGGTGGCCACTAGGCAATCCTGGGAGGAAATCGTAGGAACTGTTTTCGAACTGATCTGTGTTTTTACATGCGAAATGAGTTCGAATGAGTACGGGAGTTCAGCAAGTAAACTCTTGCGTTCATTATCTTTGGGAAAATTGAGTTCAACACGAGGTTGGTTCCCTTTCTGGTCCCGTTCCCGCTGAAGGTTTCTGAGCTACCTGCACAATCGCACAAGTAAGTAAAAGGAAAAGCAGGCTGATCGAGAGCTCGACTGCTAGTTCAAAATCGTTCATTGAAGAAAAATCTCCCAACAACTATAGCGTGCCGATAAAATTTGTTTCAACTGTTGGTCATATGCTTCATTTAGAGTCATTTCCGGTGGTAAGGGACTATACCTCATCTTCCATGGACCATGCCGATTAGTTGGCTCCGAATTCTGCTTTGTTATGTATGTTGATGACATTGTTTGGCACTGAAGGATTTTCCTGTCAATCTGCTCTTATTTTAGGAATAGCTTCGCTCTACACTGTTACGCACATACATTATGGAGTTTGCTGTTCTCATTCTCGTATCGTTTTTACGTTTTGAAACGGACACCACCAAAAAATGGTGCCATTATAGCAATTATTCTCGTGATGTATTTACCGTCGCTCCTCCAATTTGTAAGTCTGTTTGTGAGAGGTTTATGGTGGTTCTCCTAGTTCCTCACAGGTCTTTTTCCTCACAGGGACCGACTGCCAGAATTCATTCTGTGCCGCGCTTATTTTGGATCATGTTCTCGGCGGAGTTTATAGAGAGCAAAAACTTTGATTCATATCGCTCATTAATTTCGCCGGTAGCTTCCTATACTACTCGAGTGTGCCTCGAAATTAGGCTTTTCCGATTTAAAGTCCGATTTCAAGTTTTCCCACTCCAATATTTCCAAACTAATCTTGTAGAATATGAAGGTGTTCTCATTGATCCATCCAACGAGGAAAAACTCTTCACTCTAAACAACAGCGCAAGTAAATACAAAAAATCCTCATATTTCAGATTTCCTTTTGTTTTGCCAACGAAAAGGAGGCCGAATTAAAAGTGCTGATAAAGGAGAATTTCGGTTATGACGTACGATCGGAATGTGTTGGCGGAAGCAGAAACATTTTGAGTTGGAGATCACTCCCGGGAATACTCCACCTGACATTATCAGTTACGCCAATCTATATCGCTATTCATGTGATCAGAAAACTCACCATTTCTTTGTTGGATGTGGGATTGGTTATGTCAGAGAACAGTCGACGTGTTCATACCCAACTACTCCAGGTAAGCCCTCTTTTATAGGAAGTAGGTAGTTTTTTGTCATGAAAATACCAGCACCTTCCGGAATTCGGCGCTCCGTATATCTGAGAACCATGAAGGTGGACCACAACTAATGAGCTCGATAAGCGATAACGGTAGAACATAAACATTTATGTGCTATTTCACTTCCACTTTTTATTTCACTGTGATGTCGCTTCCAACAATTTCCATATCGCATCTAGTCGTTTATAATAACTTATATAATATTATGATATTTCAAGCTTTAAGTATGATCTCATTCTGCAGAAAACGTTGCTTACGCTCCTAGGCAATCATATTTTCCATAAATACGATCGCATTACATTTTTCATTGTCCATGTTAAGTGTTTGCCATAGGTCAACATATTTGAGTTCATCATTTTAGGCCCTCACGGCACAGGCCTGTTTACCAGTTTTCTTCCTACTCGCCGTCATCGTGTACGCAGTTGAACAGTTGGATATCATTCGTCATCCACTTCTCGAATATTCCTGTTTCATACTAATCGGTTTTATTCCTATGCTCAGTCCTCTTACCTCGTTTCTTTTTATTCGTCCTTACAATATTTGGATAAAAGAGACACTTCTATGCCACCGCAAGGTGTCCGCGAGCATCAAAGTGTCGGCAGTTGCATCAAAAGCCAGGATAAATGATCTAAATATTATGCTCTGATCAGTTTTTTATTTGAAATTGGCTAGTATTCTGTTGATATGTCTATAAAGTTGAATCAACACTCTTTCTAAACGGAGCCAGTTTGGATTAGATTCACAGCCCAGACGTGTCTTACAGTGCCTACCCTAAGTGTTGGAGGAAAAAAAAAGAATCGCTAACGAGAACGTTTTTCATTACTCCTTCATCAACAGATCGGTTCTCTTTTTTTTCTCATAAAGTTATTACACAGCGCGATATAGCTCATCGAGTAACCTGCTGATAAGCAACTTGACAAACCTGCACTTTGCAACCTGCTACCACGGTGGCAAAAGTCGACCTCGATTGGCAAAAGGACGTTTGAGGTAAAGTAGGTATCAATAAAAGTCTTATAAAGCGGTTTTTTGCTTTTCATGAATTTCCGAACATGTCAACAGAAGAGCCGATGGAAACGATTCAGCCAACTCTGCTCAGTTTGTTTTTTAAACTTTGGTTTTTGATAATGGACTTGGGGATTCGTGAAGTACTCATTCTTATAAACCTTCTAGCAACCTCAGACAGCTTCCCGTACGAGACTAAGCGTTTAAAAGAATCGGGAATGATTTGAACCCATAGTTTCAAGAAGTGAGCAGGAACAAATCATCAATTATTGATAAGTATATCATTACATTGGGATTCGGCATATTCACTTGTACACTGGCATTTGATAAGAACTAACGGGAAGCATTAAAAACATTAAAGTTACAAACCAAATGAAACACGATCGCCGATTGACCCACAGATAACATGATTGTAAACGAAAGAAATCCTCCGAAAGGGAAACATTCAAGCAGCTGGGAAAATTACTTCCGACATTCCACAGTAACTGAATGTGACGGAAACAAACTGATCGCTAAGTCCCAAGTCGAACCTCTTGGCGTAGAAAGAAAGAAGCCAAGAGAGCTAACAAGAACAGCCGACCCTGGGACGCCGCAGGATTGACGTCAGAAAGAGTAGGGGGAAGGAGCAGTTCATGAAGTCCTGAAGTCGACAGAATACAGGTTTTCCTTGCTCAACTGTATCCTAGCCCCATACGGGCAACGGGTATGACGGCTCTCGTACAATCATAATGGTTCCACGTCATCGGCGAGGACGCTTGCTATGATCATAATCGGGAGGCCATCCTATAATGGAAGTATTCATTGAGTTGGGAAACAACAAGCCTATTTCCGAGTAGTAGATTATGGACCTTCGTGTTCATCGGCCTAGACTAGCTATTTCAATACCAGTTTCTAACAAAGTGGATGAATCAACCATTTGGTCAATAGGGATGGACAGGATTCAGTTCTAAATGTAGTATGAATTCTATTCCAGCAAATAGTACTCCTATTCTTCATGAGTGACTTTCTTTTACTTCGCTACGGATGTGCATGTTGTGCAAAGTTGCGCTCTACATCAAAAGAATTTGTGCGCAACAGTCATAGAGGCTTCCAATTTCATCCCTGGAGGCCAGGCTGATGGCAAGATGCACCACCCTAGCCTCCAGCGTCTAAAGTTAAAGTCATCCGGATAACGTTTTGAAACGCGCTGAAGCCCAGCGTCAAAACAGCTAATACACAGGATGTTCAATAGATTACTATGCATGCATATGGCATACTATATGAAAGTAATGACAGATATAAGTTACGCTCGAAATGATTCTCCTTAATTCCAAGACACAATTATGCGCGTGATAGAAATTCCCTTAAGATGCGGATGTGTATGCCTGCGTAATCTAGGAGCATCATGAACGATAACGCTTGACCTCAAGGACCGGACAGCATTTCGATTAGGAGCTTTCAGTTCCAAGAACTTCGTCACGTGCGGCACCTATGAGTTGCCGTGCTGAACTCGTCTTTTCTCAAGGGGCACATGCTCCACAAGAGGCAATCTTTGTTCGCACTTGCAGGCATATATAAACACCATTTGCAGTATCCTCTATCTGTATGAACCATGTCTCTGTTCGAAAGTATGTCATGTCGTTCTACCTATCAGAAGTCAGGTAGGCGCGACGAGAGTGTGAAATGTAACATTGGAGTGGTGAGGGAAGTGAGAGAAATAGGAAAACTGCTGCTACTGTTCATATCGATGCCCTAATAAATACGGACCATATCTGACGTCAGAAGTTCACTGGAAACCATATGTTATCTTATGTTATGTTCATTACGCTGCTGATGTAGACGTAGTATAAAAGATGCCAAATTTCTGGAACCAACTTGAATAACGGAATAAATACAAGGAACACACGTAATCGTAAATAGAAAACACGTAAAATAAGGTAATAGTGCAACTTCAAGGTTATACATAAAACAATGGCGTAGAAGAAGAAGAAGCGGTCAACCTCAAGGGACTATGAAAGCTCATACTTAGATAAAGTTACTGCCACAATGCGTTTGAACCTAGGCAAGGAATCCGGTGTTCATGTTTTTTGTTACCTTTTTGTAGAGGCTAGCCGCTCTAAATGTGAAACTTTTGGCCCTTACACTGGTTCTGGGCCTAAGAAGATTTATTTCAGTCTGTCCGCCTCTAGTTCGAGATTGAGCCGTTTTATAAAGATCAAAGGAACCAAATATATTACCTCGTTCAGTAGCTTGCATACCATACATACGTCAAATACCTTGTGCCGCGATTCCAAAGTAGAAAGTACAAAGTATTTGTTGCGAATAGATGCTTTAGGAATCCTAGAATAGAAGAAACCCTTGCATCGGCAGAGGATTTTACGCGTAAAATTGTTCTGTACCTTCTCAAGGGCTACAATATCCCTTCTCCTAGGAGGGTTGAACACAGCAGCACCACTCTCGATCAAAGGTCGAACGTACGTTTTATTAACTTTAAGAAGGATGGACTTATTAGTAGAGGACAACCCTTTGAAGATTTACAATGTACGCAGTGAGGCCAGGGTACACCGGGTTCTGATATGTTTTAAAAAGTCAAGTTTGTCAGTATAATGAAAACCAAGGTCCCTCACAGAAGTGACAGGAGTGATTGTAACTCCTTCAACTGTATAGGGACCAGAGGAAATCTCGAATTTTTTGCCAATCGTCATACACTTCTTTTTATGTGGAGCCAAGGGGAACTGCCACCGCTTAGCCCAATCATTTAATATGTTTATCGCCATCTGCGGCCGCTATTGGTCCTTCTCTTCGGTCATGGCTTTGTAACTTTTTACATCGTCAGCATACATTTCTGTTGTAACATCTAATCCGTCACACAAACTAGGTATATTAGCTGTGTATATTTTGAACACCGGCGACAGTCTCCCTTGCGGCACTCTACTTAGCACTTTCATACTTTCGGAACAACACTGTCCTACTCGCACTTGGAAGTTCCTCCCTTCTTTCAGTGAAGAGGTGAATCGAATTTGATCACAGAGCGGTTAGCACTCAAGAAATAGATGAGGTGAAGTAGGGAAACTATCTCATTGAAATATGTAGGTAGATGTCCGGTGTCGAGAAGCAAAAAATCAAAGTCAATCGAAATTAGTTTGTATTTCCAACCACGAAGTGGTTTTTGTCGTACGATACTTCAAGGATATTGGATTACTTAGGTACATCGATGTAGGTTCAATCTGCTGTCAGTGCCACCTAAACGATGTGGCTGATTTGGTGGCTTAATAAAAGAGCGGTGTAGAAGGTTGGTGCGAAACATGGTGGTTCAAGATGAGTTTATTGAAATGGTTATTAAACCAATGAGCAAATTTTTCGGAACGGTTTTAAATTCGATTCATGTTGACTGTTTCTCAGGTTGGAAGCAGTTGTCATTCGTTATCTGCACATTAGTGACTTATTTGTTTCAAAATTATTTCGTCTAGAAATGATCGGTCTATGCTGACTGTGAGAAACGCGTTTTTCGAATCCGAATCGAATCGAAACGAAAAATCGGAGCGAATCCGTTTTTCGTTTGGTCTACAGTATGCCATGTACTTGGCGACTGGTATTGTTGCGACTGCAGAACTGCAACTGCAAGGGGTAGAGGCCGAAGTACGCTATAAACAATGTCACTGGAAACGTCAACCCAATCCAGAGAATCCGAAGTTAATGGAGGGAGAGCAGCGTTCGATACGAAAGCTTTTTATAGACGACTGAAAATAGTTGGCAAAAAGATTAGCTTTGGATAAATAATCTTCAATTGAAATTCCCTCTGATGAGACTATATTCGGAATATTATCAGCCATCTTTAGCTTTTTCCTGCACTAGTTGAAGAAAAGCGTGGTATTTTTGAGCCGGGCTAATTTCGTTTCCTCCATCACCTGATGACGAAGCAGTGCACGTTTAAGTTTACGAGCGACCGTGATAGATCTCGAGTTTTGGGCTGATAAAGCTGAGTTGAGGTGCTTGATTTTCGCCATCAAGTAATATACACGCTTGGGATACTTCACAGTCCTTCTCTTATGCAGTGCAAGAGCAGAGATTATAGCCTGATAATTACCTTTCGAGAAGCATTTGTACGAATCTGTTGGGCCCGCTAAACCAGGGGGAATGATAGTAATGTTGAAACGCACACATTTGTGGTCAGATGTGCTAAAGGAAGGAAGGACATCTAAGTTTTTAATGATTCCTGGCTCAGAGACCAGCAGGATGTCGAGAGTGTTGAGACCATAAGTTGCTGATTTTACAAGCTGCTCTAAGTTGAACGATTTGGAGAATTGGATGAAGGACTGTGAAGACGGCGTCGATATATTACCTCTGTACGTCATATTTTCCCAATCAATTAGAGGGAAATTGAGCGATGAGTGCCAATTCATGCCCTAAGCACAGTGGATCCCGGAGAGCTCACAATTGAACATTAAGCCACACATGAGCACCCACACTTTGCTATCAAGAGGTGTGTAGGATGCTAAGATAGAGCCATCACACTATATGAAATAAGGCGAGAGCAGAAGAGCAATAGGTGCAGGTCAGCCTAGGCAACGCAACTAACCGAGGTTATTTCGGGGCGGGACAAGTAGGTACCTCTTTGATCCAAATACGAGCCCCAGGCGTAAGACCTAGGCCCAAGCGAAGAGT